ACATGCAGCGTCAGTTCGTTAATGGAAAACACAATTGCTAAGAATTGGTCTAAATGCGATTTGGTTTCAGCCTGGCCTGTATAATTTGCTGCCTGCTTTGTTTTAGAGATGTACTGGAGTAATGAGTAAAACAATCCGCATTCATACACGCATCGCTGAGATAACAGCCGAAGAACACATTTGGATCCAAGGAGCATTTCCATTGGGTGAATGAGAAATTTCCATTTAAATACAAAGAATTGCAATGCTTTGGAGCTGGCTCAGCAAAGATTCCTTTTATACCCATCCATGCCACAATTCCCCTAAATACTTATTCCACGATTCCCCTAATGTATTGTCTTCATCCAAAGTATATATACCTTATGAAGATATTTAAGGCCAGAAAACGCTAGTCTATTTAATCAAAATGATGTATTTCGTAAGCCAAATGTAAGACATTTATAATTTCAGTGTATTATTTTATTTTGTGTTTAACATTAGTTATTTTGAGAACAATTATTTTGGAGGACTTTCAACATAAACAGTTGCATTATCTACACCTAGAAATTGGGTTATACTTATTGCGGATAGCATTTTCATCTGGCCCTGATAGAGAACATCGGCGATTATTTTCTCAGCGTAGATCGCTTGTGTGTGCTCCATGGAGCGCAACTTGTGGGCTATTACTTTGCCAAAATTCGTAAAACTATCATCCAATTGATTATCGGCATTCTTAAGAGCTAACGACAAGAGACGATCGAAATCGATGTTGGAAATGTCGGCCCTGCATTTCCCAGGCGGCGTTGTCTCCTGATTATCATTTGAGACCTGTGAGGATGCGGACGAGGTGCGTTTCCGATTGTTCTTGATGAATCGCGCGCGTTTATCGCGATTGGATTCTATAATGTGGACTGTGGAGTTAATTTTATCGTTCAGCGAGCTATTGGTGTTGTTGTTAGTGTTGACGGAATTATTAAATGATTTTCTGCTCTCGGATATATTGCTGTTGTCGGCTGGCAATATAACCTCCACTTCCTTGATTGTTGTCTGATTGTTGGAAGAGTTGACAGTTTGGATGCTGAAATTTGGATCTACTTCTGTTTCCTCGAATAAATTGGCACAGAAATCGTTGGCGCTATTGCTGTTGCTCGGTGATAATTTATTATCGCTTTTCATTTGTTTAGGCAAGCTCTCAGCATCCGAATATTCCTCGAGGGGCTCGGGCTGTGCTACAGTTATATCTGTATTTTGCTGCTGTAAGGGTAGGTTGTCTTCACGTTTGATTTTTTTCTCAGGTATCTCCTCGTCCTTCAGAAACATAAGAGATTCAAAGTATCTCCGCTTGGGGCAATACGGCTCATACTTTTCCCCTTTCTTTTTAACTTCATTGTACTTTCGCAGCTGGTGACGAAATGCACATCGAAGATTGTTTATTTTCTGTTTTGTTCTTTCAACATTATATAGTTCTCCATGTTTGGTGGCTACAGCAATTAATCTTAAATATGCTTCTTGTCGTTTGTTTCGGTTTCTAAAATCAACTGAATCGGCTTTCCACAAGCACGGATTGCTCTTGTACTCTTCTATGAAATCGTCAATAAAATCCATTTTTGTTTATCAATTGGACAACGATTACTAATTGACAAAAAACTTCACGTATGACATAAATAAAGAACTGAATATATATATAAATGTAAACAGCAAAATATCTTATAATTGGAGTCACTATGTAAAAAA